TTAGTACTAATCTGTAAACCTTAGTGCTAGCTTAGTACTAGCATAGTACTAGCAATTAAATCTTAGTATTAGCATACTGCTAATATTAAAATCTTAGTATTACTCTTCTGACTATAGTACTGGTATAGTGCTAACATATAAATCTAAGTATTACCTTAATACTACTCAGTATATGATGACAAGGGTGTGACATAGCCACAATATTTTCATCATCCCCGATCAAAAAAGAGTAAAAAAATAATTTTGAAACTTTTCATCACAGCTTTACATGTTGTAAAATGATTGAAATAATTATGTTTAATATTTCATTCAATCTTTGTTCAACCATTTCATCATTTTTTACAAGAAAAGATGTTAAAATATTTTAAATACTTTTATCGCAAATTGACAGTGAATATTCATAAATAATTTAAATGTTTACTTTATATATATTTATCATCTTTCACCTCAAATTATTGATTGCTTCACCCAGTGTGATGTGCTCAAGTGTCTTTGCAGTGTGACCACCATCTGTCAGCCTGTAATGTACTTTGTGAACAGCATTGAGTGCTTCTTGTCCATTATTACTTTCTATATCAGTGTAAGGGAGGGAAAAAAACAGTGTAGCACATCTCTGAGTCCAAATGCAAAATCTGCATTTATAAAGGTAAGTGAAATATGTTTAAATATTAGCACTGAGTTTTTTATCAGTCAATTACTATAACAGAAATCCTTTTCAAATAGCTGAGATATGATCAAATCAGACAGTTTCTTTTTATATTATCAATGAGTGAGGTGCATTGTTCTCTGATGAGTGGCTTTTTATTTATTTATTAAGCTTTATACAATTGGCTGTCAGAGCATTATTTGCATTGAAACATTTAGCACTGACATTCTCAATGATGACTTCACAAATAGAGCTGTTCAATGATCAAAAAATGCTAGTCATAAAATGTGTTTCACTTATGTATATCACATTCAGATGTTGAGAAAGGATACTGAATTATCAATGTACTGATAAACATCGATGGAATCAGTATTACAAATGTCAGCACAGCTAATGATATGCTAGTCTTTAACAAGTTCAGAGACCGGATCGACAAGATTGTCTTTGATGTTAATGTAGACAAGACAGAAAAATGAGATTTAAAGCCAGTGTGATGATGTTGATATGCCGGATAGCATCATTAATATGATGATTCTGACTGCAGCCACACTTATAAGCATCGATCACACCTATATTGTCACTTCAGATTACAACAGATGCATCTCAGTGGCTGAGAGCATCTGTCAAGTGAATCACAAACTCGACCGTAACCATTTTCATCCAGCCTATATCACAGCTATCACTCCTTCAGCCAGAAATCCAATGTTAAGCTGACCAGCTCAACCTCATGACAAGACCGATATTCCAGTCAGTTGATGCATGAACTTGAACATTGAGGTTCTGGGCTCACCCCTGAAATGCAGGATGTGAGGTTAGTGGGTGAAGCAATCAATAATTTGAGATGAAAGATGGTAAAAATATTAAAAAAAAGTTAAAATCTTTTAAGCATCTTCACTGTCAATTTGTGATAAAAGTATTTAAAATATTTAAACATATCTTGTTGTGAAAGATGATGAAAAGATTGAAAGAAGATTGTATGAAATATCAATAATCATTTCTTCAATCATTTTACAATTCTTCATACAAAACTATAATAAAAAGTTTTCAAATCTTTTTCACCCTTTTTTGATCAAAGGTGATGAAAATGTTGTAACTATATCACATCCTTGTTTTCATATACTAAGCTAATACTAAGGTATGAAGATTAATACTCAGATTTATATGTTAGCACTATACTAGTACTATGATCAAAAGAGTAATACTAAGATTTTAATATTAGCAGTATGCTAATACTAAGATTTAAATGCTAGTACTATGTCTGAGGGTTAGTACTTTGCTAGTACTAAGCTAGTGCTAACATCTAGAGATCGATACTTTGTAGCATAGTACTAGCATAGTGTTAACATATAAACCTGAGTATTAACCTCCATATCTTAGTACTAGCTTAGTATGTGAAACCAACGGTGTGACATAGTCACAACATTTTCATCATCTTTGATCAAAAAAGGGTGAAAAAAGATTTTAAAACTTTTCATTATATTTTTGTATGAAGAATTGTAAAATGATTGAAGAAACGATTATTAATATTTTATACAATCTTCTTTCAATCTTTTCATCATCTTTTACAACAAGATATGTTTAAATATTTTAAATACTTTTATCACAAATTGACAGTGAAGAAGCTTAAAAGATTTAAACTTTTTCTTCGATATTTTTACCATCTTTCACCTCAAATAATTCATTGTTTCACTCAGTGATAGGTGCAGAGGCATGCACAGATGTGTAAATGATGACAGGAAAAGATGCTTCAATGAACAGCATGGAGAAGACACTTCAACAAAAATGCTCCTTCTAACAGCACATGAGTTCACCAGCAACATGTGAGACATGCTCTATCAAAAAAGAGAAAAGGAAGTAAGAACTCATAATTTCAGTGACCTGGGCAGCATTGCGTCAGCTGGTTTGAGAATCATCAAAATTGATTTGATCATTAACAGATATGCTGGAGTTGTCCTTATAGGACAAATTCTGCACAATGTAAACTTTTCTGGGAACCCTGCCTTCTTGATGACCATGAGAGAAAAGGAATAAAAAAGGAGCTGGGGTGCATGAGGTGCACCTCAATCTCAGACTGCAATAAAGGACTCAAAAAATGACTGGCATCGAGTTCCTCTTGAATATATGTGTGGACAATGACAGGATGTTGCAAGGTAGAGCTGTGGTTGACAGGAGTAAAGGAGTGATGGAGAGGCTCAACATTATCAATAGGAAAGCCATAATGAATCTTGTGAGGCAGTGAAGGATAGTGATCAAAAAGGGAATGACACCACAAGAGAGCCTCAAAGGTGTCAGCATTGTAAGGCATCATGATGCAATCACACACTGATGCAGGTGAAGGAACCTGCATGGTGATCAGAGGATCTGCAAAAGGAGCAACAGTGCAAAGTTCTGGAGAGGCAACAATGAGTACAGACCTCAGTGAGGTTTCAGAGGATGTAGAGCTCCTGGCAACTGAAGTCAATGAGCAGTTTCTGATCAATGAAGATGCAGATGGTCTTTCAGCCATTGAGCATGGATGCATGCAGGCATGTAAAAGCTCAGTGGCTGGTTCTTCTGCAGATGAGGCAAGTCAGCTCAGAGGATGAGGGCTGTCTGCCATCTTGGAAGGACCATGAGCACTCAACACCAGCATGAGGGTGTTCATCAGTGATGCAGGGATGCTTGTCATTAGTGTGATCATGCATCTCACCATGAGGATATGAGTGAAAATGACTGAAGAAGGAGGAGCACAACAGTGTCAACCTTGAATTGAATTGTTCCTTTGTAACCTTCATCTTAATTTCGCTGAGATGGCTATGGTACACTGCCAGATCCAGCGAAAAGAGAGTCAGACCATTTATGTATGTGTGGCATACCTCACAGTCAAACTGCAGGATGGCTTTGTAATTCTTTGCGCAGTTCAGCAAGGCAGCAAGATAGTCATAGTGGGCCTGAAATCACATGATGATGGCCTTGTCAAAGATCTGCCTGTATACCTTCAGCATGTTGTGCCAGGCCTCAATGAAGGACTCTGCTGGGAGTAACTTTTCATTTGGCCAGATGCTTAAGTCAAGGAGATCCACATATCCATCGACAGTAGAGATCATTTGCATCTTTATGATCATGGTGTCGAGATGCATCTTGCGAATAGCATCAGATGTCACTATCATAAGAGGTATATGAAACTGTGCCAATGCAACCTTAATGACAGCTAACAGAATCTCATGGCCACTGTCCTGAAAAAGGTTCAAAGCACACTCACAAGCAGTGGAGTAGACCTTTTTTTCAGATGGTTTTGCCTCCTGCTTTGTGGATACAGCCTCTGAGGTGAATGTATGTGCTCCAGCGAATGCTTTCACACTGGGTGAAACAATCGATAATTTAAGGTAAAAGATGGTAAGAATATTAAAGAAAAGTTCAAATCTTTTCAGCATCTTTACTGTCAATTTGTGATAAAAGGATTTAAAATATTACTAACATCTTTTCTTGTTCAAGATGATGAAAAGATTGGAAAACAATTGAATGCCATTTTAGCAATCATTTTTCAATTATTTTACAATCGTTTAGACAAAGTTATGATAAAAAGTTACAAAATCTTTTTTCATTCTTTTCTTATCAAAGCCAATGAACATATTGTGACCATGTCACATCATTATCATTCTACACTAAGCCAATAGTTAATACTTAGATCCAAATTTTAGTGCTATCTCTTGAAGCCTTAGTACTATATAGTACTAGCATAGTACTAACCTTCAGACTGTAGTACTAGCTGAGTCCTAGCATAGTACTAGCATTTAAACCTTAGTACTAGCATAGTACTAACCTTTAGATCTTAGCACTGACATTTAAAGCTTAGTACTAGCTTAGTGCTAGCATAGCACTAACCTTTAGACCTTAGTACTAGCTTGGTATAGCATGATACTAGCATTCAAACCTTAATACTAGCATAGTACTGACATTTAAATCTCAGTATTAGCATACAGCTAACATTAGAATCTTAGCATCACTCTTCTGATCATAGTACTAGCTAACATATAAACTTGAGGATTAACCTTCATGTCAATATTTTCATCATCTTTAATCAAAAAGGAGTGGAAAAACATTTTAAAACTTTTCATTATAATTTTGTATAAAAGATTGTAAAATGATTGAAGAAATGATTATTAATATTATTCAGTATCCTTTCAATCTTTCCATCATCTTTCACAATAAAAGGTGTTAATAATATTTTAAATACTTTTATCATCAATTGATAGTCAAAATGCTTAAAACATTTAAACTTTTTCTTTTATATTTTTATCATTATTCACCTCAAATTATTGATTGGTTCACCAGTGTCATGAAGGCAGCTCATGAAGATGAGAACATGCCACCAATGACTCTTGCAAAGTGGGCAGCACCAGAAAAGTGTTAGTAAGTTCCTTAAAAGATTTTGCGGGCTTCGTCATGTCAGTCAAAATCTCATTATCTTCAAGGTCAAGGAACAACTCATCATCTGAGATGTCCTCCTCATCTAGGTCGTGCCTACCCACCTTGTCATATTGCATATCACATGCACCTTATTTTTGAGCTTAATAGCATCTTCTGATGCACTCACTCAAGAGTTCTGTGAGGATTCATCATAGGTCTTGAGTTCTTTCATGTTTCTTGTCATGGCCTAGATGGATTTTTGAAGACACTCTGGGGCTGTGCTCCTTGAGTTATAGCTAGCCTCAAATAACAAAAATAAAGAGACAAACTACAGCTAAAACTAAGAAGACAGTTATGGAAGCTATAAGATGAGCTAGTACAAAAGATCATGGTGAATAGGGAGAGATGTAGCATATATGTCAGGTGAGCACATCTCTTCTTCACCTGTCTGCTTAGTAAGCAAGCATTCAGCCCAGTGCTTATTTCTCATGCTGGTTATGAACTTCACTGGATGAAGCAATTAAATAATCCAAGATAAAAAAATATAGAGGAAAAAGTTCAATTCTTTTCAGCATCTTCAATGATCAATTTGTGTGAAAAGAGTTTAAAATATTCTTAATATTTTTCTGAAGGCTGATGAAAAGATTGAAAAGATATTCAATGAAATATTAATAATTTATTGTAAATCTCATCATTTTTCAGACAAAGTTGTAATAAAAACATTTTAAAATATATTTTTGCTCTTTGTTCTAAAGATAATAAATATAATCTGACTATGTCACACCTTTGTCATTCTATGCTAAGTTAGGATTAAGGCATAGAGGTCAATCCTCAGATTTATATGTTATAACTATATCAGTAATATGATCAGGAGAATAATATTAAACTGCTAATGTTAGCAGCATGCTAGTACTAGGCTACCACTAAGGTTTCAATGTTAGTACTATATGCTAGCACTAAGGTCTAAGGGTTAGTATATGATACAAATGTTAGTATTAGGTTAGTATTCAGGTCTAAAGGTTAGTACTGTGCTAGTGCTAAGATTCAAATATTACTGCTAGCATATACACCAATAGTGAAATATGAACATTATTATTCAGGTCTTAAGATTAGTACTGTACCAGTGCTAAAGTACTAATATGCTAATATTAGAATCTGAAAATTATTGCTGGCTATATACTAGTATAGTCCTAACATTTAAATCTCAGTACTAACTGCTGAACCTTAGTAATAGCTTAATACTAGCATAGTGCTAACATTTAAACCTCAGTGCTAATCTTCAAACATCAGTATTGATATAGCACTAACTTTCAGATTTTAGCACTAGCTTAATATATATTACTGTGTGAAACAAATAATAATGTGAATTAAAAGATGATAAAAATATTGAAGAAAAAGTTCAAACCTATGTAGCATCTTTACTGTCAATTTGTGATAAAAGAATTCAAAATATTCTTAACATGATTTCTAGTCAAAGATAATTAAAAGATTAAAAAAGATTGAATGAAATATTCACAGTTATTTTACAATCTTTAAACAAAGTTTTGATCAAAGTCTTAAATCTTTTTAATTTTTTTCTTGTTACAGATATGCAATATATTGTAATGATGTTACATTATTACCATTCTATGCTAAACCAGTACTAGAATATGAAGGTTAAAACACAGATGCAAATTTTAGCACTGGCATAACACTAGCATAGTGCTTATCTCTAAACCTTAGTACTTGCATAGTACGGACAATTGATTCATGGTACTGACCCTCTAAACTTTAGTACTACCATAGTACTATTTTTTGAAGCTTTAGTACTAGCATGTTGCTAACATTGAAATCTTAGTATTATCCTTTCAATTATAGCACTAGCACAGTGCCAAAATATAAATTGGAGTATTGACTTTTATACCCTAGTGCTAGCATGCTATATTATGATAAGGATGTGACACAACAAATATGTTTATCGTCTTTGACAAAAAAGAGTAAAAAAGATTTTAAACCTTTTTATTATACTTTTGTCTGAAATATTGTAAACTGGTTATAAAAATGATTGCTAACATTTCATTTTTTCATCATCTTTAACAAGAAAAAGCTAAATATTTGTAATCCTTTTATCACAAATTGATAGTAAAGATGCTTGAAGATTTGAACATTTCTTCAATATGTTTACTATTTTTCACATTAAATCATTAATTGTTTCACTTAGAGTAACATCTTTTGCATGTTTTATATAGCACATTGATCTGTTGGTGCCTTACTTAAATCTGAAAAAGCGGGCCATTATTGACATAAACAGTTTCTGAGATCATAAAATTGATGATGGTGTTATAAGTTACTTATAACCTTTCACACTTTGTGCGATATGTATCAAGTCGTGCTTGTGGCTGATAATGTTTGTTATTTCTACCGCAATGGTGTCCTTCTTGTCAAGCCAGCCACAACAATGAGGTCTGTAACAGGATCGCATCGACCAGCGATCTGCGGTTCAACTGTAGAAAGCATGGCGGTACTTTCGAACGTGAGTGCACCTCACCAGCAGCTTTACCTCATACTCGTCAGCACACAACCTCAAACACAAAATTCCATGTTATATATATCATGTATCATGTGGTAAAGTGGTCCACTATCTGGTCAGACTAGTGCACTGAAGGAGGAGAGTTAGGCTAGGAAGCTATTTGGTTGAGGATATGAAGGTGACTGAGGGTAGAATACGTGTAGTCTGACATGTAAAGAGTAGCACTAGCAGTAGATGGATATACAAATATGACCTACTAGGTGTCATTGCAATAGAGATATATCAGACATCGGAGCAGACAATGTATAATGTGATATGGAATATATGAGTGCAGAGATCCTGGGATGGCCATCCCTAATTTTATAGTGCCTGCATCTCAGTCATGGTGTGATGCCAAGTTTATGGAACATTGTGTCTTAGTGTTTTGAATGCAACCAGCTTCACCAAGCTAGACAGATTGTCAATAGATTCTTCATGACAGTAGATGCACGGCGACGGTAACATACTATCCATCTATGCCAGCTTCAAAAGTGCATTTATCTTGCAGTGATGACATGCCAGTGGATGCTAGAATTCGAGCAGCATGCGATGATAGCCACGAGATCCAAACCCACTTCCACGTCATTTCTGTTGATCGCATCTGCGTAGTTGCCTAGTACGATGGGAATGGTACATGAGCAACAGAACCTCAATGGCAAGTAGATCGCATGAACTAACCGTCAAGCACATACATAGATAGATCTACCAGCGAGATGTGTCTCGCTCATCGGAGGCAGTTGGCGAAGCATGAGATGAACGTGACCATCCTTTTAATAGGAAGAAACGCACGATCAGATCCTGATTGATGAATGCTAACAAACAATTCAGTCTGCCCACCAATGTGAACTTCAAGCTGTTGCCAAATACATTTAGCAACATTTGACGAATGCCACCCTTCTTGCATAAGTAGATCCAACCCTCAAAGACAGATGGCGAGAAACAACCTTTAGGTCAGAACAGTGAGTGACATTGCGAAATGCTAATAATGGAAGCAGGATTAAAACAAGTACCTCACCTTCCCTCCTAGAAGACCTACTCCGAGATGAACAAGCTCTTGGCCTTACCTGCATGAACCATTCTACATTGCAACACAGACAGGATGACCACACCTAATCATATTTTGATATGGAAGCTGTGCTATAGTTAAAAGCCAAACTTACCGATCGCACGGAAATAAGACAATTCATGGCCTTCGAGCTGATACAACTCGATTATGAATCATAGTCAGTCAGATCTAAAGAACAGAGGTACTTACGAAAGGTGTTGTGTGCTCGCCAGTGCTATACATGCGCCACAAAGTGAATGGCTGCTTGCCAACATTGAAGATAGGCACAGCTACACCTGAAGAAATCATTCAGACTGCAGACCCTCACAACCCACAAAACGTTCCCATCCGGATACTATGCAAAGAACTCTGTCAGGCACGTACGTATACTCCTCAAAGCTGAGCGACTTGCTGCTCATCGATGAGCCTGCTTGCCAGTCCACATTTGGCTCATTGTGCTCTCTGCACCGATCGTCTCAAGCAATGTCCACGTGTGACACGTCCAGCACGATTGTGCCGTGGACATCAAGCATTCGCTTCAACAGCCACATGGTGTGCTCATACACCGCTCCATCGAATGCCTATGAACAGGCCGTTTGCACCTTCTGCTGCCTTATCGAGATGGAGGCATTCCCATGTAAATTGTTCCATTGGCACCAAGCTAGCAGGCCACAATCGAGTTTATTATCGCTGAGAAAACCTACTGAGTTGTGAATGCAGCCCCTGATACATAGTTGAATCTGAAATAATCACCTACAACCGTGCACACCCATTGCGAGTGACTAAGCACCTTGTCCTTCCACAACTCCAGCTCCTGCATCACAGTTTGCCAACACTAACACCATTAGCCCGCCATTCTCTTCACCCTCACTCAAAGACAATCACCTACCGCAAACTCTTTCAATGTATGTCACTGCCTGGGACTGAACTCCCTGGTACACTGTTGATGATTGTGAGAACTGGTAGAACAGGTGGTACCGTACGCTCCTCAATGGACAGGCAATTCAGACGAAACTTGTCAAAGGCATATATGAGTGCCTTGGCATGCTGATATGTCCATGGTCATTGAAGTTGAGTTCAAAATAGCACTCACAATTGGGTTCACAATTGTTCTGGCATTCGTCAATGAGTCAAGCAGCGGTGTGAGGGCCTTGCTTTGCTCAGCTAGCCTCGCAGCCACCATGATGCCTCTACAATGCGGATTGGCCATCGTGAATTTGGAAAAACAACATAGCCAGACTCACCTGAAGAACTCAATTGCAACTTATTCATTCTCCTCATCAGCAGATACACTTTCACAGCAAAAGCGAACAGATGTGGCAGCAGGGGTGAGAGGGGAGGCCTCCCATTCTTGTAAGGTAAGTACACTCCTCATGACCCTCGCACTGGCATCATTGGCAAGCAGTTGATAACGATGAGATGTGACGTGCCAGTTCTAGTGTAGGGCAGGTCCTGGCGAAAGCGTACTTGGAGAATGGCAAGCACAGTGTCATCGAGGAGTAAACAGATGAAAGAGAACTGGTGAGCTCACCGGAGCTGATCATCTGAGATGGTTGGGAGGCCATGGCCTATGGTAAGGAGAGGAAGCAAAAGTGTCTTCAGTGCTTTGCACGACGACGAGGCATCACCTGATGATGGTGCGAAAGGAAGGTGATGAAAGCCTGTGGGCGTAGACAGGGATGATGTTATGCAAGGACCGAAAGCAAGTGAAGCACATTAAAGCTGCAAAATAAAGGTGATAGCACATAAGTTGCCCGGAAGTATTGCGAGCATGAAAAGTCACCTTAGTCCTTAGCCAGCTATCCGTGTAGAGTGAGTCAGGGGAATGTGCAACATGAGAGAACACGAGCATACCTGTGCAAGCAACGACAATGAGTGGCTGCTGCATGGAATGCATGAATTGACGAAGGGGAGAGGATTCACCACGCACGTGAAGATTGATGAGCCTGAATGGATGAATAGAGGCAAGAGCTGTGATGTGTGATGAGTCAGACAAAGACTTATCCACTGAACCATTTGCAGATAAGTATATCTGTAAATTAATTTATTCAGAATGATTTCACCAGAAACATTTCATGCACATGCAGGTAATATCCTCGCTGATCACTCAATGTTTCTAGACATGCTGCGATGCTGATGTTCCAGGGAACGATATACGATGTACGCCGTGTGCGTTCACCAATGATGCCATTCATAACATTTTGAAGGCATGGTAATAAAATGTATGATGACTCAGCAATGCTTCTGCCATTTTCCTACCAGTCATATATGCTTCACACTCCGAATGCTGGATATGATTATGCGGAAATGTCATTGACAGAGACATTGTTTTACAATCCAAAATGCGGACACAATGGTTGTTGTAATAGTTCAATGGTGATATCAATTGTCATCCAAAATGCATAGTTGTCCCTGGATCATTCATGGGACACTACGTTTGCATCACGAGGAAAATTCATTCTGCTGATGTAAAATGTGGTAACATTGAGTGCAATATTATGACTATGATCACGATGTCATCAAAATGATTCCATCGGAATCATAGCCTGATGCTCTCGGTGTAGCCAGTTGCACTAAAGACAAACATCATAATATGGTCTTATTTGCGCATTGTGGCAACTTAAAGTGTGGGAATTTAGATAGGTTTCAAGTTATAAATCATATTTAAGCATGGAAACTTTCAGTTTTTAAAAGTTAAACCACAGCAGCTTTGATTGTTACTGTAAAAATGCATTGGTAAAGCTGTGCACAAACTATTTGTATATTCTGTTAAGCCTTTAATCATAATCTTTTTACTTCTATGCATTTTCTGAGCAACAAAAACATATATAGCAAGCCAAGAAAATCATTAGCCACACCAAGAGCTGTGACTCAGCCACCAAAGCCAAATAAAGCAATCAATCTACTCTGGTGTGGAAAACTTCAATTACACCAATAGCTTTTGTTTCTGTGTGCTCAGAATGGAGAAGTTGAAGTGCAGAGCAATAAAATATAAAGATCCATTTCTCAAGTAGAGACTACAACAAGTCCGAAAAATGTGTCATTCATTCTACATCACAAATGGTTAATGCCATGAATTAAACCGCGTTGAAGCCATTGAATGCCATGGTTTGAATCATTTTGAAGCCTTCAGGCATTAACCCTAGCAAATTCAGTGCTGTGATTGGCTCTGAATATTTGCACCTGTTTGGATCAGCTGCATCATGCAGGTTTAAACTCTGGCTTATATGTTTATTAGAAAAACAGCAGTAAGAACAAGATGTTCTCCAGTAAGAAAATTTTGAAGAGAGGACCTCTCCTAACCTCAGGACAGGTCCACTGTCCCACGCTTTGCTTAAGTATCCCAGGGGAACAAAAAAATGCTGCATAGATGCCCTAAGCGCTCAGTCCGGTACAAACTCTTTCTTCGTAGCTCAGAAATCGTAACACCCTTTCACAGCCAGGACATCACATGTCAATAGATGAGGTGGTCTTCAAGGCTGTGCAATCGATTGCAGTCGCCCTCGATCCTCCTCTTGCTGCCTGCTCAGTTTATGCTGTCAGAGAGCCAACCATGCATTGCTTTTATGCTGACAGTTATATCTCACTGGTGACCTCACCATGCTCACGTAAGGTGTCCATGATGAACATGAAATGTAAGAAGGTTCGTCCACTTGCCTGCTTAATCTGTGAATCAGCTCTAACATCAAAGCAAGTTCATATGGTAGTAGTAGTACTTGTTGTAGGTGATGCTCCTTGGAGCTTCTGTAAAGCACGTTAACCATAAATTAAATATGGGAACAACCTACTTATCCCAAAAGATTATCAGTGAGCAAGGATATATTTATGTGGTTCATCCCCCTTTTTGCTGACTCCCTCTTTCATCTGATCACTCCTTTGCTCCCTAGCTCTTCACATTTTGACCATTGACACCCACTCGCACATTACTTTATGGTATGAGCTTGCCTTCAGGCTCAGGTACATTTTTAATATGTCATATCTAATCATAGTGGATGAGGTGATACTTCAATTTCATTGTATAAGATGGAACGACATCTACAGCACATCATCCAAGATGAATGATCAAGCTGAGTGCAAAGATCAATGATGTGGATAATGCAGAGCATCGTACCTTGGTTGGTACAATCAGGCCAATGTCATTTATGTCTGAGGTAAGCGAATGTGCAAGACTGATGCTGCCATGACTCACTCAATGAAGTTGACGAGAATGAAGCACATTCAGGCCCAGCACGAAAACATAAGAAGAAGAGCACACAGAACACAATAGTTAATCAGTCTGAAGATAAAGATGAGACAATCTCAAAGAAGATGAAGAAGGCTACTGGTGCACCATTCTTTCACTTCACCATATGATCTACTAACCTTGTCATACTCATATTTTAAGACTTTGAACCAGAGAGCATCCCATTTGATGCACAAGGTGAGACAGACAAGGACTTCTTCGATGCCGATGGCATCTTGTCGACATCCAGCATATTGCTGAGCTAAAGGAGAAAGTGCAGAGCAGCAATGATATCTCTGACGTGAATCATTTCTTTGGTGATCCATGACAGGATGAGCATAGCAACCCTTTGAAAAAGACTATACAGCACGTTTACAGCTGTCAACTTTGCAAGTACGTGCTGTTCTTTTCATACTGTATAACTGCGACAATTTCTCATCGTATCACAAAAAGAAAAACTGTAATAATTATACTATTATATGTGCATGTGAGAAGTACGTAGTGGTCTGTTTGGACTTAGCCAAATGGTGTGTCGCCCTTGCTGCATGCTGGCTTCCTTCAGTCATCTTGCTGCCTTACTTTCAGTTTTCTGTACCCTACATATCTTGAGATAGCAAATCTCTATGACAGGCAGTAACTCAATTCATCAAAAACAGCTCCGACTTTCAAGAGAATCCACTCGTCCCTGAAGCTCTTTGACATCTTCATGTGCAGAAGGCCCAGAATGATGAAGCCATAAGCACTCAAGCAATACAAATAGATGATGATCACCATACCAATGCAGAGTTATCCAGTGCAGAGCAGCCATCTGGAGGTCCTGTGAAGGCTTCAAAATCTAGTTGCTCACAGAAAAAGTGTATGCTGCAAAAGAGATGATGAAGAATGTGAAGCAGCAGAAGGGAAAGCATGCATATATGAAGCTAAGCACCACGGAGGAATTTGATACATGGAAAGTGCAGCTTCTAGTGTGCATTGATATCACCTTGCAGCAGACTACGAGGTGTTTTTCACAATCGCACGTATCTCCCCAAAGCCACTAGCCCTTCTCTCCTCAGAGGATTACAAAGAGATGTTGACTCATGCACAGAAGATCAAGGAGGATGTGTCCATCCATGTGCATGCCATATTAGAAGCAAGGAAGGTAAGTCACGATTTTATAATATTATTTATAATGCTTTATAGTGAGGCTTGACATATAGAAATGCTCACGCTCCCATGGAAAATGGTGAATGTTCTGATGATGACAACAACAGCAAGAAGAAGAAGATAAAGAAAGCAAAGATGAAGGTTTGTCTCTGTGCTCTTTCTCATGTCTATTAAACACTGATTTCGCATCACAGACTTCGAAAGCTTCAGATATCAATGTCATAAACAAGCCTATCAATGACAACATCCAAATCCTGCATGCGCAATGGACCTGCCACAAACCAGGCTGTAGGAGCTCCTGGTGCTTCCCTGACTCTGAGGATGGCACACACTTGAAACTTAGCAATGCACACTTTGAGGTATGGGCAGCTGCGATGGTGAGTAATGTCTGACATAAACCCATTCATACAATGAAAGCACTGACATGAAGTAGCTCAAAGAAAATGACTTCACCACTGATAAGCCTCCCAACAGCCATTTGTTCAACACTGTTTCCACTGGAGCTTTTGGTCAAATGTCACTTATGCTTGAAATGATGCTTGAAGTTAATGAAACCTGCAGTGCTAGCAGCACACTCACATCATTGACGGTAAATTTCAATCTTCCACCTGAGCTCTTCACTGTCTTTCGGTCACAATCATCCTCCATGGATCTGTCATCATCAGTCATTCCCACTCCCATCTCTTGTGCTCTAGCAATGCTCATAGCTTCTGATCACTTGCCTGGCCTGAAGTTGTCTACAGAAGAGTTTTGCATAGCATACTCACTAACTAGTGATGTCAAGACCCGTCTACTCGAGAATGGCTACTGCAGCATGCATACATTCGAATATATCGAATTGACAGAGCTTGAACAGATGGAGTTTAAGAAGGGCGAGATTGCACAATTACGTGCTGCAGTCACAAAGTGGTCAATTCCTGTCGCAAAGTAAATTTTCTATCATATCATGTCTAAACATCAAGCATTGTAATCAGAAGTAATCTGAATGTCATATGTAGCCTTGCACATCAGACACTGTAATTACATTCATCGCTTCATACATATCATATACAATACCATCTGATTCCTCAGATGTGAAGACATCTGCATTGTGGTGAATGAATCCTTTGCCTTTTGACAATGCTTCTTCAATTGGGTTAAGGTGAGTATGGAGGCAAATAAACAAGTTGTACTCCTGCCACAGTATATGTATGAGCTAAAATTACATCAGCAGTAAATAGAATGTCACCTGCTTGTTCTACAAGCTTTAAAATCTTATCCCCATGATGTATGCATGCATTATTCATCACCAGCATACTGAGCTTCCCCAGATATGGTGAGCAAAGAGGAAACTGTAAGCTGAATCATTAGTGCCAATTATAACATATAGCTGCATTGGACATATGACTTCATGCTCAATGAAGTGGAGGAACCTACTCCATGTCATAAAGCCCTCCACAATAGTAGCAATTTCATCCATGGTGAGTCGGTATCCCTCAAATAAAGATACCTTTCATCTCTGCATGATGCTCACTGTTCACACATCCATTGATGGAAGGACCTCTCATTCTTCGATACCTCATCTATAAACCCCAGCTGCTCTGAAGTATACTGAGTCATCTGATGAACAAAGTCTGCATGTAGATCCTCATTTCTCTCTGATGCAAGGCATCTCAGCTTCTTCAAAAATGTTTCAGCATGTTTTAGTGCATGATGGATAGTGGTGAAGTGCACAGAGAGAAAGCGATTATGCTCAAGGAGGTGCAGCTGTTCATCGAGAAACCAACACAGGCAGTGTTGAATGAGTCGAAGAAGGTAATGTAGATCATCAAAGTGCAGTTTACATGGTCACCCTCATAGATTGGAGCTTTGTTTTATGACATCACCTGTTAGGTGGTAAAGCTTCCATGTTTGTCAGAATGTTCATTCAGAAAAGCAGACATAGCTAAGAATATCTGTGAGAGGCAGGAGGTGTCTGATATAAAATCGAATAGCAGCACATTTTACATCAGCACTGATGCTCCTATTAACTATAGTGAAGATGACTGTGTAGGGCAATGAGACAAAATTGAGAAAGCCAGCAGCATGTGCAATGAGCAAGGCAAAAGATCGTATCTAGCTTGAGGTGCAGTGAAGGCAATTTGGCTAAGTCCAAACAGACCACTACATACTTCTCACATACATCACTGCCATTATTTATGCAAACTGCTGTAAGCAATGCATGAGGTAAGGGGCCATTTAATTAACAGTATGTGACACATTTTTGATGACACCATTCACTAGCACAAATACTATAAGTGGTGCAAGAAGAACCATTTTGACTTCAAGCTCTCAAGTGATGTCACAGCTAGCAAAGTGAAGATTCTCGAAAGCCACATCCCTCAAGAAACTCTTGAGAGACATGTCTGAGTTGGTCAGCCAGCTGAGTGCATGATTGTGTATTCAGATGAAGCATTCAAGTCCACCACTATTGAATGGCTGATAGAGACTGATCAGGTACAGATATTCTCTCTATAAAATGTTATTCATGATCTCATAAAGTGATGTATCAGCCGCTTGTAGTATTTGAACATCTGACATTCAACATGATCAGTATTGCTTTCATTGAATGAAGCAATCAATAATTTAAGGTAAAAGGTAATAAAAATATTGAAGAAAATGTTTATACACCTTCACTATCAATTTGTGATGAAAGTATTTACAATATTTCTAACATTTTTTATTGTGAAAGATGATGAAAAATTCAAAAGAAGATTGGATGTAATATCAATAATCATTTCTTCAATCATTTTACAATTTTTTATGCGAAACTATGATGCAAGGTTTCAAAATTAGTTTTCACTCTTTTTTTATTATTAAAGATGATGAAAATAGTGTGACTATGTCACACCCTTCTTTTCATATACTAAGCTAGTACTAAGATATGGACGTTAATACTCAGGTTCACATGTTAGCACTATACTAGTACTATAGTCAGAAGAGTAGTAGTAAAATTTTAATGTTAGCAGTATGCTAATACTAAAATTTAAATGCTAGTACTATGCTAGTACTAAGCTAGTACTAAGGTTTGAAGGCTAGTATTATGCTAGTACTGAGGCCTGAATGCTGGTACTATGCTAGTACTAAGCTCTGGAGGTCAGTACTAAGGTCCAAAGGTTAGTACTATGCTAGCACTGAGCTAGTACTAAGGTTTAAATGTTAGTACTAAGGTCTAAACATTAGTACTATGCTAGTATTAAGGTTCAAATGCTAGTACTACAGTCTGAAGGTTAGTACTATGCTAGTACTAAGACATTAAGAGATAGTACTGACATTTGGACCTAAGTATCAACCTTTATATTCTAATATTAGCTTAGTGTAGAATGATAATGATGTGACATGGTCACAATATGTGCATTATTTTTGATAAGAAATGAATCAAAAAAGATTTTAAAACTTTTTATCATAACTTTATCTAAATGATTGTAAAATAATTGAAAAACTGATTGCTGATATGTCATTCAATCTTTTTTCAATCTTTTTGTCATCTTTAACAAGAAAAGATGTTAATAATATTTTGAATTCTTTTATCACAAATTGTCAGTAAAGATGCTGAAAAGATTTAAACTTTTTCTTCAATATCTTTACCATCTTTCACCTCAAATTATCAATTGTTTCACCCAGTGTTCATGTGTCAAGGAAGTGGTCAAAATTCCAAAGTAAACGTCAACACAGTGAGAGATCTTCAGTTTATTTCACTAGTATCAGCATGACCTGAAGAAACAGTTGCAGGTGAGACTATCACTGTTTAGCTGATAGCTATGCTCTAATGACGAGACAGAGCCCAAGTGTGAGAGGCAAAGTGTGTCTCACATGTGATGCTTGACAAGCTAGCAATATCAGTGATTATTTCACTGTGACAGTGCATTGGACAGATGAGAAGTTACTGGATGATTGGTCACTAGAAGCAGCTCTGATTGGCTTTGTGCATATAAACTGTTCACACTATGGCAAGTGCTTGGAGCAAGCCCTTTACAAGGTTGCTAGCGATGTCAGTGTCACAAAAAAGGTACGTTATGAAAAGATTGATATTGGTAAGAAGACATTCATAGTGATTGTACAGATTTTCACCATTACTTGTGATAATGCAAGAGCAAATTTGACAATGATGACAGCATTCACTTCCATAGTTCACAATAACCATGGAGTTGAGTTCAATGCTGAGCAATGTCACATCGGGTAGGTGTTTGCATATGAGCTATATAAGTAAAGATATTCTTACAATTACTTGTAGCTGCCTTGCACACATAATCAATCTCACAATACAAGCTGTCATCACAGCTCAAAGCAAAGCTTCACATTATGACCCTGATCAACCAGACTCACATATACTGGATACCTCAGCTGACATTCACAATGAAGTGATGCTACACACAATATCCATTAAGGTAAGAGCAAACTAGATGAAGAAGTGTTAACATTGATAAGTGTATGCAGGAGAGCTCATCAAGCCAGCACAAAGAGCAATTCCATGGTATTCAAGTGTCTGCTGGCATCGAATTCAAGGACATCAAAACTCTCCTGACTGACATGAAGGTTTAATGGTCTTCAACATATATGATGCTCAATTGAGTATATGGTCTTCATGAGTGAGCATTTTTTAGCACTTTGTGTGCTGTATTACTCAATGATGTTCTTAGCATGTCAATAAGTTTATAACAGAGATCTCCAGAGCTGCAAAGGATATAAGGACATCTACAAAGTTATATGCTCTCCTGCCAAGAGATGACAAGTGGAAATACATTAAAATCTTTCAATGCATTCTGCAGGTACATTCACAATTTATCAACTTTTATGTCAATAGTATAATAATTGACAATCAATGATTAGATCACAGATTTCTGCCAACAACACTTCTCTTCAGAGCATCATCTGGCACTGCACCTCACATTACCTGTGCTTGAAGATCTACATGCACAATGGATCATAAAGCTACATAAACCTATCTATGTGCACTTTATAAATGGGTTGCAAGCTGAACTTGCTAAGATCGAAGCGTACTATGACAAAACTGGTGATAATGATGCTTACATCTTCTCAATTGATACGTATATCATTGATGAAAATGTTTTCACTATTCACAGATTATTGTTAGTGCTTGACTTGGGTAAGAGGGCCATTTCCTATAGAAACAATTTCTGAGGTCCTGATATTCTTCATTGGATTTTATAAATTTATCATGATATTCACCACATTGATTGAGGGGTACATATTATTACTCACAATAAAATATCAGTCTCTTTGGCAGAGATGAAGGATAGTATGATTGTTCAAAAAGCAGCTGTATTTAGAGTGACATTATATTATGGCAAAGAAGATAGTTGAAAGATGATGGTGTGTGGCAGACTGTGTTTTCATTATTGAAGGTCAGATTAAGCAAAGTTTAGTGTAAATTGCTACAGAGCTAAATCTACCATGTGCTTTGTTGAGGAGAGTACAGTGTGCCACCTTCACAGGGTATTCTAATGTTTGAGCATTACCTGTAACAATTCTATCATTGTACTGTGTTTGACTGTTCATGTCAACAATCCTTGCAGTGAAATAAAACTCACCAATGTAAATCATACTGCACAAGTGATATTTTATGCCTTGTTCTTCCACGCACATAGCAGGATTTAGCTGAATTTGCTTCTAATTCGTTATAAATGCTGAAAAGTTAGGAATATTGGCAAATTACGATTTCTGAGGTATGAAGAAAGAGTTTGTACAGGACTGAACACTTAGGGCATCTATGCAGCATTTTTTTGTCCCTGTGGGATACTTAAGCAAAGCATGGGACAGTGGACCATTACAAAGTGATTTCATTTTCTGCCCCTGTGTTGAGGTTAGGAGAGGGGCATTCCTTCAAAATGTTCTTACTGCATAACTCTTGATTGTTACTGCTGTTTGTTATCTTTTCTGATGAACATACAAGCTGGAGGTTGAACTTGCATAACACAGCTGATCCAAACAGGTGCCAATATTTAGAGCCAATCACAGCACTGAATTTGCTAGAGTTAATGCCTGAAGGGCTGATGACTTCAAAGCTGTTCAAACCATTGTATTCAATGGCTTGAAAGGGATCCAAACCACAGCTTTCAATGGCTTCAAAGTGGTTCAAACTACAGCATTCACCATTTTATGATCTACAATGAATGGTTCAACATTTTTCGGACTTATTATAGTCTCTACTTGAGTAATAAGAAGAGATCTCTACATTTTATTGCTCTGCACTTCAACTTCTTCATTCTGAGCATACAAAAACAAGTCCTATTGGTGCAATTGAAGTTTTCTGCACCAGAGTAGATTGATTGGCCTTATTTGGCTTTGGTGGCTATACCACAGCTCTTGGTGTGGCTAATGACTTTCTAAGCTGGCTACATATGGTTTTGTTGCTCGAAAAATGTGCAGAAGCAAAGAGATTATGACTATAGGCTTAATAGAGTATATAAATAGTTTGTGCACAGCTTCAACAATGCATTTTTACAGTCACACTCAAAGCTGCTGTGACTAAAGTGAAAACCCTTTTCATGCTTAGATATCAGTGATAACTTGAAATCTTGCAATGTGCAATGGAGTATACTGTATCCTCATAACTCACTCCATATGCTGTTTCTTCATTTCATCTATACAAGCAGAATAGTTTAAGCAATCTGAGTTTTCAGCCACTGTGGTAAAATTGATTGCTCTTATTTGTCTTTAGTGGCTGAGCCACAGCTTCAAGTGTGGCTGATGGTTTCTTGAGGGTGTTACATATGTTTCTATTGTCTGAGAAATGCATAGCAGAAGGGAAAGATGATTAAAGGCTTCATAGAACATACTGAAGTATATAAATGATTTATGCACAGCTTCAACAATGCATTTCTACAATAACACTCAGTGCTGCTGTGGCTAAACTGAAAAATCTTAGCAGGCTTAGACATTGTTGACACTTTGATAACTAAACATGCATTATAGAGTATACTGCATGCTCATGCTTAACTTTGTAATGCTATATCCACATTTCATCTATACAAGCACAATAGGTGAGACAATCTGAGTCTTCAGCCATCATGGTAAAATATTAAAATTTTCATCCATATTTCGACTTTTTATAATGTTTGATCACATGGATAATACATAGTACACTACATCTTCATGCCCTGCAATGAGAACAACATGTAGATTATTTTCTGGCTCAAACAAGCGAAGATTTGAGGCTACAAAATGTCAGCCATCTAAATTCCCACACTTTAAGTTGCCACAATGTGCAAATAAGACCATATTATGATGTTTGTCATTAGTGCAACTAGCTAGTTGCCCAAACAATAGACATTATAGCTTGGCATTGTGCACACAATACTTTGAGCTAATTCCAATTTCATTCCTCCAAAATTGAAAAATCTTCTTTCTGAGGCTCTGAGGTCTCAGAACATCATGCTTTTAGTTCAGAAATGTTGTTTTTGCTAATGCACATACATAGAGCACTGGGTTTGAATCGGAGTTTAAATCTGAAAGGTGGCTGATTCAAATAAGTGCAAATATTCATGGCCAATCTGTTGAAAGGAGCCAGTTTTCAGACTCTTCTGGTGTTGAGCGTGCTTAACACATCAGGAGGACGAAGGTCGAATGGCAGCTGAAACATGTCGCAAGGTGGTACCCTGGAAAATTGGATGAGGCATGTGATGTACGCTCAGTGTAGCTACTTGCTGTACATACTTAAGCAGCAGATGATGCGCTGAACAGCAGTTATTTGTACACTCTATATGTATGTACTTTAGTCAGGTCCCTGAGGCCTAAATTGGGTCAGCTATCTCATCTAGTGACTCTGGTTTTGACACAAATGACTTACCAAACCTGCTTCATCTCTCCACTATTCTCTGAAGCCCATCTCTAGATGACGACAACGTTACTCACCTAGGCAATGGTCAATGAAGCAAACTCTGTCAAGTTTCTGGTCCTCAATGAGACCAACTACACAGACTGGGTCATGCGCATGGAGGCTGAGTTAGTCAGGAAGGGATTGTGATTGGTCATGCAGCCAGAAAAAGGCTCAAAGGATGAGACAGTGGTGGAAAAGGAGATGAGAGAGGAGGAATGGTGTCAGCAGTGCTCAAGGAAAAACATGGGAATTGTCTGAGCAGAGCTAGTCAGGCACGTGACAGATGGGCAGCTTGTGCACCTGATGAGTAAGGACCTCAAAGTCTGTTGGGAAGTCCTGGAGCAGGTTCACCAGGTGCACAGCTTTGCGACATGAATGGTTATGTGAAGAAAGATGAATTGGATGGTGAAAGGGAGTGAGAAGCTGATGTCGACGTGGATCGAACACGTCAAGACACAGGTCTGACATCTCCTCCATGTCGATATCTCAGTAACGGAAGAAGATCTTGTTTTGACACTCACCTCGGGTCTCGGCAAGTGCTACGAGCCACTTGTCATGGCACTGGATGCACTATCAGCTGATCAACTCATCACAGAAAATGTTGTTGCCAAGTTACTCAATGAGGAGATGAGGCAGACAGATGTGAAGGAGGCATCACTGGATGCAGTAGCTAGAGCGACAGCATACACAGCTAGAGCCAAGGGACAGGAAGGAGGAAGGCTGAGCCTGAAGGCATCTTCAAAGAGCCAGGGGCAGGATGAATGGAAGCTGAGACCACAGTGCTACTGATGCAGCAAGAAGGGCCACACAAAGTGCGAGTGTAAGACAGTGTTCAAGGAGGCTGAGAGCTCAGAGGATGAGAAGGCAAAGAAGAAGGATGATGCACGAATGAATGTATTGCATGCATCAGAGGGCCACATTCAGCTCTTCTAGACCAGTGCGGGGTTGATGCTCGAGGGGGAGCAGTATGAAAAGTTCTAGGCATTCTTGCATGAGGAGACGTGTTGGAAGGAGCCAGTTTCCTGACTCTTCTGGTGTTGAGCATGCTTAACACGTTGGGAGGATGAAGGCTGAATGGTGGCTGAAATACTCCTGAAAAATTAGATGAGGCACGTGACGTATGCTCGGCGTAGCTACTTGCTGTACATACTTAAGCAGCAGATGACTGTGCTGAACAGCAGTCATTTGTACATCCTATACATACTCTAGTCAGGTCCCTGGAGCCTGAATTGGGTCAGCCATCTCATCTGGTGACTCTGGTTTTGACACAATCAGAGTGCTGTATCTGTGGTCAATTTATTATCAAATCAATTGAATTCTTTCAAAACACTTCAAACATTTGCATTTCATCATGTTCCACTGTATCTAATCTGGCCAACAATATACATACTATCATCTGAATAATGTATCATTTAGCATTTTCTGAAGTTATGACACTTTTTATTCCTTGTTTAACTAATAGTTGTTGCAATTAAGTTTTCAGCCACCTTAATTTTCACTATCGCCCTTCTATCTTCAGATTGGCTGCTGCTATGCTCACGATTAATATAGACCAGAAAGTCGTTCTTTTCAGCTTTTAAATGAGTATTTGTTGATTAGATATTTATGCTTTATTTTGAAGATATGTGCAATTCTATCAGGCTCACTCATTTATACACTTTTGAAACTAACAATCCAAAGCCTCCAAACCTAAAAATCAGAGTACTTTATTAATCAACCATTTGTCCTAAGCACTGCCTTAAGGCATTAATGTAAACTTTTGATCAAACTTTGATGCACAAAGCTGTCAATACCCTTTCATTTCTTTTTCAACTGCTTTTACAATTCTGTAATTTCTTGAAGTGGCTTGCTAATATGTTTTTGAGATGACTTCAAAGATGATATATGAAATTAAGCTTTGAAATTGATCAGGCCATGTTATAGTCTTAAGAGTATTCTCTTTAATCCATCTTCATGTCTGTTTGAAGTTACAGTTGAAAGTATTATCTCCACACCTTTGCTGTAATGCTTCAAGCCATTCATTCTGAAGCTCAGTTTTCAGAATGGTAACATAAAGGTCAGAGTCATCTTGTTATCAGTTTTACAGGTATACAGCCTCACATCATGAGTGATCTGTCATCATCTTCATAATACAGCAAATCTGAATCTGTATTCAGCCAAACAAGTTCTAGCCATGCTATGTTCAATATTTCAAAGTACCATTTGTATATGTAGTGCATCAGAGTTTGATCAAAAGCATACATACTATACAATGAACATGTTGAGTGTGATTATATTTATCTATAGCAGACTTTTAGCTTATGGAATAGTTGTGAGGGATACAGAACCTATAAGTATGTCAGCCACTCAGGATTTGAAAACCAAGTCTAAGATAATGAAATCTCTTTTGAGGCCACTCTGAATATTTTGATACAGCTTAAAATGGCAGATATCTTGAAGTATCTTGCTATGATCGTCTACACTGCCATATTTGCAGCATCAAGACTAATATTTTAATGTGAATAAAAAAAAAACACAATGTGGTGAATATTTGTAATCAAATTATAAACTTAATTATGAAGAATGTCAGGACCTCAGAAATCTTTCTGCCAGAGATGGCCCTCTTACCCAAGTAAATATACTTCTTGGTGAACACATGATAGCTTTCTCTATATTTAAAGATGTCCACAAATCATCCAGAGCAACAGAACAATTATTCAGCTCAAACTGTGCTTTTTAACAATTTCACCGTATGCTCTATGAAAGTTGTACAAATGTTGCTTATGCTGTGTTGCATAGCACAGACCCTGTTGCATTTTCTATTACTGCAAAAATGGTACAGATATCCATAGTTTCTGTTCTGCTCTGCTTGAATGATAATCTCTCAACATTAATAATCTTACCTCTTCATCAGTGTTGCAATAGAGATGTGAAGAGAACAGATTCTTTCATTTATTTACAGAACTGCAGCCTAGAGAAAATGTTCTGTCAAGTTAAGCTTCTCAAAGGCAATAGAAAGCTCTCAAAATGGCTGCAAGCCTTTTTTTCTAGACAATTCACAGATGACTGATCAAGATATAAAACTTTAACAATCATTCAAATGGAAAGCAAGCTTAGGTTCATCTTACACTACATATTGCAGAGAGTAGTATAAAAATGTAATTGTGTGATATTCTTTATTTATCACTTATCATTTTACTTTAACAGTGAATGGTATAAATGGTCACATATGGTTTCATGGTTGGATTATTACTAGCAATAGTTTAATGTAAGAGGACTGTAAAGTAGCTAATTATAAAGTCAAGCATATCATACATTTAGCTTGATGACAATCCATGCAATACTGCATTGAATTTCTCCATATTTTTATACTGTGCATCTTGAATATACTGATACATAATGTGATACATTATGATTTCTTAATCACATCAGGTGCAGTAGTGTAGTAATGATTTACAGCAGTCAAATGATTAAGATATATCTGAAAAACTTACGAAGATCATACTTTAAAATATTAGCAGTTAAAAGCCTAAAACCTCAGGAATCGTTCCTGCCAGGAATGACCCTCTTACTCAAGTTCTTGACGGGTGAGGTGGGCTGTGCATATGTGTGCAGCATGCAGGAGCATGTGAGGCTGAATGTGAGTGGAGAAACATGACATGCATGGTGTGGACATGTACAGTGCTGACCGAGATTCAAAAATACAAATCTGGCACAGGCTTCAAGAGGAGAGCATGAGATGCAGATGTATTGCTTGCACTCATTTCATCATGCAAGCTTCGATGGCAGGAGCACAGTGCTGAATCTGATGAGTGCATACATGAGCTATGATACCTTCATGAACACCCTTATTTCATCATGACAAAAGTGCAGGTCTCAAGAAGGGCATCCAGATAGAGATAAGGTGGGAGCTATATGTATGAGATGCTCCCTGGTGAGCGGTCATGGATGCAGGTGATGTAGGTGATGTGGAATAGAGTGAATGCATGTTGCATTGCAGACCAGGTTGCAGCAGGGATAATGGACATTGAGTATATTGATGAGATGATGGTGACGATCTTGCTGACAAAGTCCATGCTGGACCTCTTCAAAAGCAAGGTCACCTCTGATGCTACTGATGTGATGATCCCTGTGCACAGACCTGTATTCATATCAGACTACATGTCAATGTTGCATACACCAAAAATGCACACCCTGCTCCATCAGATGAAACAGGAGCAGATCGTGCTGCTCAAAAACCACAACAACACACTGCCACTCAGCTGTAGGTGAATCTTTGAACACAGTTTTGCAGCAGTTTTATTTTGACGAGCTTGGTAGGCTCTCCATTGTGAACATATTATGTGGTGATGTGAACCCCTCAGGTGAATAAGGTGGTCACTAGCACACTGATGGTCGAGTGATTTAAGTGAATTTGACAGGTAGGCTGCTGGTGTCTTTCTCACGTTCAGTTGGCACGACATCTGCATTTATAATTACTTCAAGGATGCAAGGCCGATAAATTCTTAGACACATCATGCTGAATGGGATGCTCGTGTTTGGGCACCAGGTGCATGGAGTAGAGTGCATGGCAGTCAGAGTGGCCTGATCTTTGTTTCTTAGATTGCAGTATGTGTCGAATTTGCCCATCCTATTGTGGAGCTTCCGGCGTGGTCTGAGTTATATGACTTTCAATTCATTAGTGGTCCTTTGGGATGATGATGGAGTTTATTGTGAAGAATGTCTTATGTACAATGATACACAGATGAATATACAGAAGAAGCATCATTAAGGTCATAGAAAATAGCACATCCAGTTTAGGAGAAACACCGTTGAGATTTGTCCAGGAAATTTGGGACTCAGCTGATCCTTTTCAACAAGCTAAAGCAATAACAGCTTTCGATCAATACAAATGTTGGGTCGGATCTAGCTACTTTGATAACTATCAAGTAGAATTCATTCAGATCCCGTTTAACCATTGGTACAACTGCATCATCAGAGAATCTAGTCTCATCGCCTCTCGGGTCCTCTACTATGAGGATTGGTTCAAGTGGATCGATACTCTCAAGGAAACACTCGATTCACTTGAAGAAGACCACAAGGAGGAACAAAGGCAAGCCTCAGAAAGGCATTCCCTGCTTTGAGAAATCGAAGCCAATATCGATTGACTCAACGAAGAAGGTCACCTAGATGAATATTCGTATAGGACACTCATAAACAGTCTCCAAAACAGGATCACACAAGAAACAGTAAACCCACAGAAAACATTACCTGCATACCGAAGAAGTTCTAGCCCAATCTGAGATAGGAACGCGATAAACAATCGAGGAAAACAAAGATATCCGCCCATACCAAGAGGATTTGGGTTCACATCGAGGACCCCTTCTCCTAGCAATTGGTTGGACGGAAGTTCAGAATCAGAAGATTTCAGAGGATAGATCACTGTGAATGAGCTACGGCTTAATTGGTGACACCTCTCCCCCTTCATCACATTCATCTTCGGCGGGTCCACAATCTACAGACCTTGGGTTACTATTTCAAACACCACCAGAGGAGGAAACTACAACCTCTTCACAAGTTATAACATCCTCAATTGCACAGCCACGATTATCTTCACCTATACCTCTAACTCCGCACACACAAACAATGTCTCTGATGAATCAATCCAGTGCACTGAATGCCACATACCTGGCAGTGTACAATGATTTCATCACAAATGCCCCAGCAGACATCACGGGAGCAGCCAGGAATTGGCTGTTAGTGACACACTCTCAGTCGCTATACACGCAACAGCTTCTAGGGCAAAATGTAATTGACCTAGAAACTAGGCAGTGAGCAGTACTCAATGCCAACATGGCTGAAATCAACCTGCTAAGGCTAGCAATTCAAGGCCTACAAGTAGGACAAGCAGCCACAGCACCACCGATTGAATCCCTCCACCTGCAACCAGACCTAAGCAGAAAGTTGCCGCACCTGAGAAGTTCTCGGGTCATGGCACTCCCAAAATTAAGGAATGGCTCGAACAGATTTACCTATACCTGGATGATGTCATGGATGAGCAGCTAAGGATTAAGCTGTCACTATCCTACCTCGAGGGAGATGCCCATGACTACATAGACAACTACTACACTCTGGTCCAGACGACTCAACTGCTTGGAACGTGGGCTGACTTTGTCAACTGGCTCACAACATCTTACAACACCAAGGACAAGCCACGAGAGGCACAGCTTGAGGTCAAACGTCTAACAAAGAGCCCCTGGACAGACATGTCCAAATTTGCTGAAAAGTTCAAGAAGTGGGCGAACAAGTCTGCTTTGCCCGACGTGGATCTTATTGAAAAGATCCGCTGCATCACACCTGAAAAGATCCTGCAAGTACATGTGGGAACAGATGAGAACCAGTGGCCTATCACATGGGAGGCTTACCTCAATTGGGACTTGGACATTGAACGATGAATGAAGCATACATTCACTATCACAAGCTCAAGAAAAGACATGCAGGTAGATGAAGTAAAGAACACCGGCAAGGGAAAGAAGAAGGTGATGACCAAGGGGAAGGTCAATGCTGCAGACAAGAAGCTGTCTGTATGCAAATACTGCAAGAAGAAGAGGAAATTTGGCCATCGCTGTGAAGAATATAAGAAAGCAATGATCAAAGAGGGAAAATGAAAGGAGCGAACGAATGGAGGTGGGGGAAGAGAGGGTCCAGAACTGCGATGCAATGTCAAAAGAAGTATAAGACAGTTGTCAGATGCATCGAGATGCAGGTCACAGATGATGAAGAGGAGGCAGAATCGTCGAGACTCACCATGGCGCGAATTCGTGAAGTAGTCACAGATGATGAGGAAACTGATCTCGAGACGCTAGCTCACCTTGAGGCTAAGTACCCTCACTTACGCTCAACATTCTCGAAGCCTGACATGCTCCAGGCAAACAAACCAGCCACATCACAGCTGTCGTCTTTTTGGCAGGGACCACTGTAAAGCGTGAAACGGTGATATCCCCCTGGTGCCAGTAACTTTTTCGATACCCATCTCTGTAATCTGGCTGGGTCAAGCTGAGGACATATGTCATCTACAAACATGTATATTAACCATATTCCTGAAAATGTAATGGTACAAAACAGCTTCTGTACCAAATCCATTTTCAATTTACCTGTGGAACTGTGGGTATCAGGAAAAGTAGTATGTGCTGAGGCCCTAGTGGATTCAGGAGCATATTCAATCTTTGTGAACAAGAAGTTCATTAGGGAACATCGATTGACTCTTTATAAGCTGAAAACTCCATACAATGTCTACAATGCAGACAAATCAATCAATAAAGATGGTCAAATCCTGTATTATCTTCGAGCCTATCTAAAGGTCAGAGATCACGGATTGACTCATCGTTGCCTTGTCACCAACTTAGGCGATAAGGATATAATCCTTGGGATGACATATTTATATATGCATAACCCAGAAATTGACTGGAAATCCAGTCAATGGAAGTTTACCAGGTGCCCTGAATTGTGTACCATTAATGGGTCGTGTAAAAAATTTATACAAAGAATATCTCGAGAAGAGACAGAGGAACTTCTTGATGAGGAAGGTTGCAATGAACAGCCAGTTCCACATCAAGCAATGGAAGGAGGAGGTGATGAGAACAAATTCATCAACTGGGTCAAACTAGGAGACCCAGAAGCTGAAGAAATAGCCCGTCTAGTAATGGCAATTACTAACATGGGGAAATGGACAGATGAAGAGAATGAAGAAACTGCGGATTACAAGGATTGGTCGAAACATGTCCCAAAGCACTTGCAAGCTTTTGGAAATGTATTTTCTAAAAAGGCTAGTGAACGTATGCCCATGCATAAAGCCTATGACCACTCTATCAAATTCGAAAAAGGTGCACCTCTTCCAAGACCTGTGAAGGAGTATTCAATGAGCCCCGCTGAGCAAAACTCACTCAATTCATGGATCGATGAGCAATTAAGCAAAGGTTACATCTGAAAGTCAAAGAGCCCAGTAGCCGCTTCCGTCTTCTTCATAAAAAAGAAGGATGGAACTCTACGACTGGTGCAGGATTATCGTAAACTCAACGAAATTACCACAAAGAACTGTTTTCCTATCCCTCGAATCTCTGACCTTATCGATCAATTATCAAAGGCCTCCATATTCACTAAGCTGGATCTGCGCTGGGGGTACAATAATGTATGCATAAAAGAAGGAGATGAGTGGAAAACAGCCTTTACCACACACCGTGGTCTTTTTGAGGCAAACATTATGTTCTTTGGGTTCTGCAATGCACCAGCCATGTTCCAGGCGATGATGAATGAGATCTTAAAGGATTTAATCCTTGAAGGCCACGTTGTGGCCTATCTCGATGATATATCAACTCATCGCTTACTTACTAAGGAAGTGCTCAAGCGTCTCCAAGATAATGATTTGTTCACTAAGCCAGAAAAGTGCTTCTTCGAACAGTCATCTATTGAATATCTCAGGATGATTATCTCTAAAGGCTCTGTAACGATGGACCAATCCAAAGTCAAAGCCATATTAGAATGGCCCGTACTGACAAAAGTCAAACAAGTACAAGCATTCTTAGGCTTCACCAACTTTTATAGGTGCTTTATTAAAGACTTTGCAAAAATTGCTAAACCACTTAACACACTGACAAAGAAGTCTCAGGAATGGATCTGGAGTGATGCAGCACAAAATGCCTACGAATCACTCAAACAGGCCTTCGTAACGGCCCTCATCCTTAAAATTCCTGAAGACAATAAGCCCTTTAGGTCAGAAATGGACTCGTCCAATTTTGCCACTGGTGCTGTTCTGGAACAACTGTCTGACAATGGACTATATCATCCCGTTGCCTATTACTCCAAGTCTCTAAACGAGCATAAACGAAATTATGAAATTTATGACATAGAAATGTTTGCCATTATTCGAGCACTCGAAGAATGGAGACACTATCTGGAGGGACATCCTGAAGTTGTGCAGATCATTTCTGATCACCAGAACCTCACGTATTTCAAGTCAGCGCAAAAGTTAACATGCCAGCAAGCTAGATGGTCGCTATATCTGACCTATTTCAATATTAATCTGCAGCACCAACCTGGAACAACCATGCTGCATGCTGATTTTCTGTCCAGGAGACTAGATTATGAAGAGGGGGTAGAGCATGGCAACTGCTCAAAAACAATGCTAAAACCCGAATATTTTGCCATACGGGCAATGCAACCCTCACATGAGGCTCCAATAGATGATGACAAACTTCTTACCAGGATCAAAGAAGTGCTAAAAGACGATGATGTGACCAAAGGATACAAGGAACTACTCAAGAAAGAAGAATGGGAGTTCGCAAAAGGACTCGAAGACTGGAACTTCGAAGATGACCTATTGCTTTATCGAGGAAAAGTTTATGTATCTAAGACAGATAAAGAGGAATCTCTAAGACACGAGGTACTCATAACACATTATGACTTACCATCCACGGGACACCCTGGAAGATGGAAGACATACGAGTACCTATTTCAGAACTATTGGTGGCCTCAAATGACATACTATGTTAAAAGATATGTTTCGGCATGTGAAACTTGCCAAAGATACAAAAATATCAAAAAGCCACCATACGGTCCTCTACAATCCAATAATGTACCAGAACATCCATGGGATATTATAATGGTAGACCTAATCACTCAGTTACCAAAGTCAGAGAAACACAATGCAATATGTGTTATGGTGGATAGATTTAGCAAACGAGCTCACTTCTTCCCGATCACCAATGAATTCTCGGCAAAGGACCTAGCACACCTTATGTACGAATGTGTGTGGACCCAACACGATCTTCCTAGACAAATCATCAGTGATCGAGGACCTCAATTCACCAGTAAACTATTCCAAGAATGGTGCAAATTGTTGAGCATTAAATCATCCATGTCAACTGCCTATCATCCACAAATGGATGGGCAAACTGAGAGAGTCAACCAATCTCTGAAACAGTACTTATGCTGCTATTGCAACTATTGGTCAAATGACTGGTCAAATTCCTACCAGCTGCAGAATTTGCATATAATAACCAAGCACCGCACATAGCGTGGGATAGAAATAAATGCTAAAAAAAAAAAAACCAAGCACATGAAAGTACTAAAAGTTCACCGTTCTTTATTGAATACGGACATCATCCAAGGGCAGGACCTTCTGTAACCAAGTCAGCATCACATCCAGAAATCGGCGACTACGAGAATGCATGAAAAGAAGCACAGGAGCAGGCCAAGGCACCACTCACTCTAGCGGCAGAATGAATGAAATGGTACTATAACCAGCACATTGCCAAGGTGCCCTTTAAACAAGGAGACCATGTCATTATTGACATTCACAATTGGCAAATGATGGAAAGGAAAGTTAACCCCTGTCGTGCTGGTCCTTACACGATTAAGGAACAACTCAGTCCTGTCACTTTCAGGATCGACTTACCAAAAAACATTTCAGTTCACCCAGTGTTTCATGCCAGCCAATTAATACCCTTTGTGGAGGATACAATATCCAAATGGTGACACGCACAGCCAGCGCCCATACCTGTTGGTAAAGAACTCAAATATGAAGTTGAACAGATACTGGACTCAAGGATTGTACGAAAAAAAATACAATACCTTGTCAAATGGAAAGGATATGGGGATGAAGAAAACTCGTGGGAACTGATCATTAACCTGGGTAATGCCACGGAATTAATCGAAGAATTCCATGAAGAACATCCAACGGCTCTGATCATGGCAATAACATTATCGCCCGATCCTAATTACGACCCGAGCCAAGATATTCAGGATAGCCTGGCCAACTATGATGACATGACTCCCAAAGAACGAGAACTTCATGATGCAGCAACATCTAGAAACGGATATCTAAAAACACAACATCTAACAGACAATGCCAAACTACCACTACGCACTACTACTGAGTCAGCTGACCTCAACTTATATGCCACTGATCGCATAATCATACCACCACATTCTCGTGCACTAGTGTCTACAGGACTAAAAATTAAACCTTCACCAGGAACATACTCTCGAATCGCTTCATGAAGTGGAATGGCACTTAAGGGGATAGATGCCCAAGCAGGGGTAATAGATCGTGACTATCGAGGAGAGGTTAAAGTACTACTCTCCAATGCAACTGATCTACCCTACACAGTTAACATTTCTGACCGAATTGCTCAGCTTATCGTTGAGCGCATACTATTACCCATACCATCAAGAGATACCTCTTCAACAAAGAAGAAAAGGAGGCTTATGTCAAGGCATGAGGGAATGCAGCACGCATTCGAGCACAAGGCAGTTTCAGTTCTACAGGCAGATAAAATTCCAACAAGACTTCAAAAAGGAATGAACCGGTGTGTGAAGCACTGAGCCTTAGGAATTATTGCTATATCCAGAACACGAACCATTTCACTAAAAGTCTGGCTATGATAAAGTTTGCATT